GTCTTAAAGTTGCCAAGTTTGGGAACCACTGCTCTAGCTGATGATTCTACCACCGTAAAGGGGACTTTGGACCAATTTTGTCTTTGCTACTCCTCTTGTGCAAGACTATGGTTTTCCCAGTTGCAATGTATGGTCTTGAAAGTTGGACCATAAGAAAGGCTGAGTACCAAAGAATGGAGGCCTTTGAACTATGGTGCTGGAGAAGACTCCTGCGAGTCACATGGACTGCAAGGCAATCAAACCGGTCAGTCCTACAGGAAATCAACCCTGACTGTTCTTTAGAAGGCCAGATCCTGAAGATGAAACTCAAGTACTTTGGCCACCTAACGAGAAGGAAGGACTCCCTGGAGAAGAGCCTAATGCTGGGAAAGATTGAAGGCAAAAGAAGAAGAGGATGATAGGGAATGAGGTGGCTGGATGGAGTCACCGAAGCAGTCAGCATGAGCTTAAATGCACAGAAGCATCTGGATAGGTAGGTGGGACCTCCTGCCGCTGCCACCACCGGTTCGACTGAAGTGGGGTGAACCGGGAGCAGCCCACCTTTGAACTGAGCCCAAAATTGTTAAGTGAATGTCTTCCATTTTATCACTTTTCTTGCCACATTTGTTAAGTGAATCACTGCAGTTGCAGTTGCTAAATTAGTAACATGGCTGTTAAGAGGATCTGGCTTCTCCATTGACTTTGCTTGTCAGATGGTTGCAAAATGACTCCTGAGCACTGCAAATATGAGTCCATTGTCAAGCATCGGAATGTAAATCGTGTGACTATTAGAATGGGTGCCATGGTCCTAAGTGTGAAAAACGGCCATGAGTCACTATTTTCAGCGCCGTTGTCACTTTGAATGGTCACAAAATGAACTGGACTTCCTGTACATAGGTGAGAAAAATAAAAAGAGATAGCAGTAGGTCAGATGGAAGCCATGATCTTTTCATTCTTCCACCATTTTCTACTAATGGCGCCTCCATGCTTTTCATGAGAGAATAAGGCCAGCCTAAGATACTCCAAGATGGCTGCCAAAATGGCTCACTCATGTCCATGTAAAGAAATGGAGTGACTTTCAATGCCAGTGTCTGAGTAACAGAATGGAGTAAGGCAGATGGTGGGACATAGACACCCCTGTCCTGAAATATTGTGTTGCCTCTCTGAGCTCTCCGGCATCTGCTGCAGAGAGCCAAGCCTGGTCAGAGAGAAGCTTTGGGTGATTGACTGATTGATCTCCTTCCTTTCCTAGGCAACCGGCACGCAGATAGGCATGATTGTGAATTCCTTCACCAATATCGGAGTGTCCATTATTATCGCTTTCTACTTCAGCTGGAAACTCAGCTTAGTCATAACCTGCTTCTTGCCTTTCTTGGCCTTGTCGGGAATGGTTCAGTCTCGAATGCTGACAGGCTTTGCATCTCAGGACAAGAAAGCAATGGAAGCTACCGGAAGGGTAATGGGCTTTATTTCTGTTTTACTCTTAAGACTGACTGAGACGATGAATAACTGCTTGAGGAATTGCCTTGGTTAGATAATTGTATCTATATCTCTCCCTCTCCCCCCACTCTATCTATCTATCTATCTATCTATCTATCTATCTATCTATCTATCTATCTATCTATCTATCTATCTATCTATCTATCCATCCATCNTCCCACCAAGCCACGCCCACCAAGCCACGCCCACAGAACCGATAGTAAAAAAAAAATGAATTTCACCACTGGTGTCATTCTCTTGCTACTCTCTCCCTGCCCTCCCCCCTCCCTTGTTTTTTTTCTTTTTTGTACATGTGGACGGATGCTTAGTTTTATACTTGTTAAAAATCCTTTGCAGGGCTATACGTTTGCAAAGGCGGGAGAATTGCTGACACGGCGCCTAAGGAAAATTGGCTTCCAAGCGATGTTAGGCCAAGAAATTGGTTGGTTTGACGACCATAGAAACAGCCCAGGGGCCTTGACTACGAGACTAGCAACTGATGCCTCTCAAGTTCAAGGGGTAAGAGATTTTATTTAATAGTCGTTTCCCAAACCATCCAATATGGTTTGCTTCAGAATGAAGGAAAATAATAATTGTTGCTGGCAACTGTGTGTGTTTTGGTAACCTGATAAAGGAAGAGTATACAATTTGAGTCCCACCCGGGGCCGTGGACACAACCTCCAGTGTAGTTGTAATATTCCCAATGATTTATAATTATTACTGGGATAAAACAAGAAGCTTTCAAGGCATTATTAATACACGATATGCAGATCTCTGAAGCATCTAAAGCCCACTTCTCGTTGTAGCTGTAAATCTGTATCTTCATTATATAGCCTTTTCATCAGCCATTGGAAGGCTTTGCTTGATTTATTCTGATTTATTTTATTAAACCTTTCTCGCCTGCTCTTCTGTGGCAAATGCCGCTGTTCAAAGCAACTTTATAACATTTAAAATGATGATTTCATCAAAACAATCATGTAAAACAACGAGAGGAAACAAGGCTAGCCATTAAAACCCCGTTGTAAAATTATTATCTGCCCCTCCAAGGCCACAAAGCAGTCTGGAAAAATGACTGAGGAAAAAGATCAGCTGGCAATTTTGGGAGCAATACTTTCTATAATATAAGGCCTTTGTCTTCGCTCATTCATTCACACCGAGGCTCCCTAAACGGTTTGTCTATTGCAGTGTCTCTCAACCTTGGCAACTTGAAGATGTGTGGACTTCAGCTCTGTTGAGGTCTACTGGAATTTATCCTTCCTGACAGGAGAACTTTACAGCCTATTCAGGAAAAGAAAAAAACCACACTTTCCTTAATCATCTTCTATAGCACACACATACCCCCGGGGAGGGCCTTCTCTGTGGCTGCTCCGGCCCTCTGGAACGATCTCCCCATGGAGATTCGGACCCTCACCCCCCTTCAGGCT